TGATCGTGTGGACAACACGTAGTGAGAACTCTGACTGATCTACGTATCAAGTAAGCCACGTGGAGAAAAAACGCCGAATTAGGGTGTTTGGCGGCTCGCTGCACTGAATTGAGCATGGTACCACTGTGAACATCACACTGTCTATTTCGGTGAGGCATTCAGTGTAGATTTTAGTGAGCTTCACGGAGAGTTTCTGCGTCACAATATTGGGCAGCCGCATTCCACGTACTCCATTCCTTGAAGACATGGGGGCAGAAAGTTTTGAAGTGAAACTTGGATCGGACTCTAGTCAATCATTTAAAGTAACAGCTCTTAAATTCCTGCTTCTAAATCGTCCAGGAAATCGACAAACTATCCTTCTACCAGTGATTAGACTCTGGTACTGCATGCTGAACAGAGATGGGTTTTCCTGTGAACCTACCGCAGATTTGAAAGAGTAGTACCTCAGCGCTTAAGCAAATTCATTGGGCTACGTCTGAGCAGCAGAAAACGTCTGATTACCTATGTGTCATTTTATGACACGAGGCTGATCCAGGACAGGAATTCATACACTAATTCAATTATATTGTCAGGTTTGCCATTCACTGGCACATCCTAACTGAAATGTTTGGTGGGTTAAATGCTTCCTGAAGACTCACAATCGATGTGATTCTCGTGTAATATCAAATTGACCTCTCATGAAATCTGCTGCATAGTTTAAAACATGCAAGTCCAAATCGTCAGACAATTCACGAGGTACCAAATCAATGCACAACCTCTACCAATGACAGTCGATGATTCCAATGCGCAGCACACATCCATACCAGGAACTCAGTGCATCGACTTGCAGTCACACAATGAGAGTGCTTTGACAGCAGCACAATCGCATGCGGTATGGGTGTGCGCACGCTCGTGTGCGCCGCGCATTCAGCTTTATAAAACCGCATTAGTGAGGTCTTGATGAGCCATTGCAAACTGCTTCATACCTAGTCGCACACTCACATACAGGTAGGTGCTCGTGCCAGTTGCGCGTTGCTCGGTTAGGCTGATTTCAGCGAGACAAACCGACTTAACCGTATTGTTAGTTCTGTTTGTTTTAGCTGCGGATATACGCGTAGAATGGCGATAGACGGTACGTGGACGTTCACGGAGCAGCCGAACTGCCCCATTCCCTTTGACCTCCTTGAGAAGCTGAGACGTCGAAAGAAGCTGTTCGATTTTAACATAATCGTAAGTTGATTAGTTTGAGTGCCACTGACAACTTAGTCGAAAGACGGATGCAAGGTGCCAGCTAACCGTCTTTTGCTGGCTATGCGATTCCCACGCATCGCGGACACTGTAGCGGTTGAGAATCGAGCATGTATGGAGTGGAGGCGATTCAATGCCGAGTAAGTTCGTGTACAACTCACTGCACGACAACGCGTTGTAGTATTGTGGAAGCAGCCGTGGCATTCGCCTACACCGGACGCGTCCAACTCACCATGAGCAATGTGGCCAGCCTCTTCTTGCTATCGACAACGCTGGGTTGCTCAACACTCACGTCTGGATGCATTGAATTTCTCGGACTGAGGTAATGCACCAATTGAATGGATCTTTCACTTATCTCATAGATCGGGTCTGCAAACTTCTAAAATTATCCATGCTACGGAGAGGCCTCTTTGTGCTAGTCATGTCCCCGCAATTCCGATTCTGTGACACCCTGGCAAGCGTTTCTCAAAAACACAAAACTGGCAAAAATGATGCTTGTCAGAAAATGCGTTTTAGGCTGTCAGAGGACAGTGTGGATACCTTCTGGTCTATTGCGAACGCCACAATGAACAGGGACTTAATGAGGATCTGCGTGCCCTTAATCGCTGCCAAATTCGACATCTTCACCGCACGTCCAGTGTTTTATTCCTCCACTGACGTGGAATATCTCGCCTTCTTGCTAAAAAGCAGCCAACTCACCAACGTGACAGAGGACTCGAAATTGCGTGTGATTGCAACATGGTTTCAAACCGCAACTACAGAAGATGGAGGAAAATGTCAAATTGATTGTTTCAAAGACCTCGTTGAATCGGTTGACCTTAATAAAGTTACGTTGGACGTGTGTGCCAATTTGTGCACATCAAATCTTGAAACGGGACTTTCAGAAGAATGCAGGTTTGCAAAAACTTCAGGCTTTTGTTTGAACTTTTAAATGTTTTGTGAACAAGCCGAGTCGATGAAAGGAAGGAATAGGATGTTTTAGCATTGCGTAACTCTTAAACTACCATGTGTGTATGCTTACCTTCGGCGCCCTGCCACATTAGTGGTTAGGTTAATCATCACCGAGCAACTGATAACCGATAGTTCCTCACTCGGCATTGTCATTTCTACCAAACAAATAAAATGCCAGTCGAATAATTTCCATCTTCGTGCGTTTTTTTCAATTTAGAGGATACCTCCTTAGTGCTTGGATGTCGGCGAAGACGTCGTCAAGCTCAACGGACGTTGCCTCTTCGCGGAGGTGAGCATTTTTATGCACTTGGATCTCATGTTGGCGCACTCACTCGTCAACTGTGCTGCACTATTTGCGTTCGCACAGACACGCCTTCCGAGACTACGTTGTTGCCTACAAACTTCAGCCAGGCGTTTTGATGTTTGAAGATATACTAGGAGAGACGACTGACGTGAATATTAACTTTCAAGTGCCATCACGCCGGAACTGCGTAGTAACCTTCTTCAAAGGTGAGTTCTCTTAGTTAGAGATTTGATGGCAGAAGAAAATTTCACGTTTACTAAGACCAAATTTCTTCTTCCGCAGACAGCATTTACATCAGTGGAGGGATGGATTCAAACGGTCACAGCTCAAACAGAGTGGATAGAGTGAACCCCTTTAGTGGTAACGTCTCCAGCGTGTCGCCAATGTCCCATGCACGGTATGGTCATTGTGCTGCTGCCAATGACCAGTATCTTTTCGTGTTTGGAGGATATTCCGGTTTGTCATATGTGGATGAGTGTGAAAAATATGACGCTATTCATAATAGGCAAGTTTGTGATATATTACACCCCAAAATCAACATTGAATTTTCAATATTTTCAAGTCATGGTAAACAGATACATTAGGCATTTTTAAAGTCATCGTTAGTTTTGCGCTGTTTGAAGATGGACACGGCTGCCGGATATGATTGCGACACGTTCTGATGCAGCGGCAGTGAATGTGCCAAGTGTTGGCATCGTCGTGGTTGGTGGATATCTAGGCGACATCAACGTCAAGGTGGACATCGTGGAATTGCTCGCTCCCAGTACGGAAGGCGGTAAGGATTGGTCGTGGCAGACGCTTGCTCCCATGCTGCAGTGGCGCAGAAGTCCAGCAGTCGAATACTTCCGCGGTTGCATCATCGTTGCTGGTGGGAATGATGGCGAGCATATCACCGTCGAGTGCCTTCCCATGACTCCCGATTGCAGATACTCCAGCCAATGGACACAGCTTGCTGAAGTGCCTCACAGCCGTTCTGGTGCTATCTCGTTAGCTGCTTTCAATGGACGGCTTCTCTTCTATAACAGTAACATCTGGCTAAAATTAGAAACAGGGTTTCCTTTCTTTGTGTTGAAGTCCTATAGAGGTTGGTTTCGTTCCGTGATAAGCACGTAAAAATGTAAATTTGTCTATCGAAGGTAAATAGCCTACTTTATCGTAGCAGAAATTCGATTTCATTTAAAAAATACATTTGAGCTTTTGATGTCTACTTCTCATCTAAACGTAAAGGTTAATTTCTTTTCATGACAATCACGTAAAAAAGAAACTTTTTTACTAAAGATAAATTCCTTATATGGTGTAGTAGAAATGCGACTTCGTTTTAAAATTATCTGAAACTCTTGATATCTAATATTCCTCCAATGTAAATCTAACTTGCGTTCGCATCTCTTTTCAAATCAAAAGGAAAAGACGAAGTGCTGGAATTTTTGCCAGAATCAGAGACAAATGTAGGTTCATTCAATTAACAATTAACTAGTGCAATGTCGAGGTTCACGTAGTGCGTTCTTTATAGGAATCCGAACTCGAAGAATTTACGTGGAAGCCGCTGTTTACAAGGGTCGCTTATGGAGATCAACGACTTTTAGTCCTTCGAAAGCGTCTTTGAGCTGGATGTGATGAATTCAGTGGTGAAAGGTTGAACTTCCTTGTTCTATCGATTGAATAATAGATTTCGTAAATGTCCTTAGTGGCCAAGTGATCTGAAATAAACTGTGTTATCGATGAAATATTCTACGGTAACTCTAGGTACAGCAAGCCAGACAACTGCCAGCAGTTAATTTAGAGAAGAGGCGACGTCCTCACCTTTGCGCAACCCGTTAATCACCTGGCCAGTTTGCAGTGTTCCTGTGTGTGATTATTGTTCAGTGCCGCCGTTAACTGATTTAGTGCATCGAGTTGAACCAATGAGAAGTTGATGTGCAATAGCTCGGGTTTTAGCACTCTCGAGTTAACAGCCCGAGGCAACCCGAAAGGAGTGGAAGGCACGAGGCGACAGAGGACACGACCGTTTATAAGCGTCACGCCAGCCCACGTGTGTGCCTCAGTGTGTAACCAATGGCAATGGGATGAGTCATTGTCACCGTCGGGTCAGGATAAAAAGTTCACACAGGCGCGATCACTGTTAATCCTCCACACGTATGCGGTGCGTGGCAGTTAATCTCATTATTTTACTGTCAAAACGCGGTACTTTGACGTAACTTGTAATGATAGCTATTTACACTAGTTGGATAGTACGTCTCCACACTCCTATTAACAACAGTTAATAAATTGAAATGGGTACCTACAACCTGTTAAAAATATTAACGTGTACTAACTAACCCGGTCCGTTTTATTCAAAAATTAACTTCCGAACTTTGGACTGCAGTATGACGGAAGTCGTGCGTCAGCCTCGAAAATTGGGAAAAGAGTTTCACTTAACCCCTCATTAGTCAATTTGCTGTCCAGTACTTATGCCCCATTGGTCGACATATTGTGCTGAATAAATGTTGAGGTAACCGTGGGCCGCATTATTGCAATCGAAATGCAGACATCTAGCAGGGCATAATTCCAAACTTGAAATTTGCCAGAAAAGGCGAGTTATACTATTTGCTGAGGTGAAAATGACAGGAATACTATTGATTAAGCATTTGTGGTGACGTCTACTTGATCCAAATACGCTGACGTTCTTCAACTTGGGATTTCCAGATGTCGTGCATGAGGTTGCACAGCAGTGTTAACTGCACTTCAAATCGACGTTTACGGCTTATATAAACCGCATCCGCATTGCAGAAAACCATGAGGGCCCCATAATGTGATCTTGAACCACATCTGGGCCGAAGTGTTGAATTTGTTTGCGGGCCCCGTCATGTTGACTTATACCACGCCAGGGCTGCTGCGTCACTAAGATATCTGCGATTATGAAGATGACCGGAGGGGAGATTTCGCAAAGGTGACACGACCTTGGAAGCAGGCTGGCACTAGAACGGGTAGTCCTTCCAAAATTGGTGCAAGAAATCTTCAGGACCATCTCTGTGTGTAATTCAGCAGACAATCTGGGACTGTATTCCATCAAACGCGGTGCCGTTGACAGCCGCACGGTTTGATTCAGGTTCAAAAATATAGGGTAGCAGACCACAAGTGGCTTGCTTGTCCCATCAATGCTGCACGGGAGTCAATTCTGTTCTCCTTTTTCATTGCGGCCACCAATCAGGTCAGTGGGGACTGCACGAAAAACGAAAAACCAGCTTATGCACACCAGTGTGCATAAGTGTGAACACACCATTCAACACGATGAGAGCACAGCAGGATTGAGAATGATTCTCGTCTACCGATGGAATCCCTTGCTTAGTAGTAATTTTTCGAATTACTTTGGACGATGACTCACAATGATTACTTCGTTATCGTGCACTTTCATGGAGCGGTGGAGGAACGTCATGAAATTGTGTGCTGACTAGTGAGCGAAAGACACGTCTGGCAACAGTAACCGAAGGAAAAGAGATAAGTCATTGACACTACCAGGCCAGTAAAGAGGCATCACCCACGCGAGAGTGTCAACAGTCCATTGCAAATCATCACCGATTTTATGATATGTTCCAGAATACCGAATATGCAGTCCTGAAATGGCGTCACGATGTGCTGATATTACAGTAGAATAAAATCGTTTTTCAGTAAAATATGACATGAGGTACTCATGGATATTAAAGTATTACAAGTGATGTGGCAGCCTGGAACCATGCCATTGCTTATATTAACACCCGATTGCTGATATTCCGGCCAGTGGACAGGACTTGCTGGAGTGTCTCACAGCGGTTCTGGTGCTATCTCGTTAGCTGCTTTTAATGGACGGCTTCTCTTCTATAACAGTGACGCCGGACTTGAATTAGAACTAAGCATGGAGTCATTTCTTTGGGACTGAGTTATATGGAGGGTGGTTTCATTTCGTGATAAGCACGTAAAAAAGTAACTTTGTCTATCAAAGAAAAATAGCCTACTTAATCGTAGCAGAAATTCAATTTCATTTACAAAATACATTTGAGCATTCGATGTCTACTTCTGATCTAATTCTAAAATGACTTTTGTTCGCATCTCTTTTCAATTCAGGAGAAGCAGGCGAAGTGCTGGAATTTTTGCCAGAATCAGAGACAAATGTAGGTTCATTCAATTGACAACTAATTATTGCAATGTCCAAGTTCACATAGTTCATTCATTGCGGGAGGGAATGATGGCGAGCATATCACCGTCGAGTGACTCCCCTTAACTTCCCGGCATCATTACTCCAGCCAATGGACGCAACTTGCTGCAGTGAATCAAACCTGCAGTGGCCCCCTCCCCTTGGCTGCATTCAATGAAAGGCTGATTTCCCAACATGGAATCCTGTTAAATATAACCAAGGTAAATTACATTGATGTTTTATTATTAAAACAAGTTGCATCTCCTAATATGTTACTGCGATGCAGGATAGACCCACGGTTAAATTGCTTCATTTAGGCGTCACAGTCTATAAGGTGGAATTGTTGTCAAAATCAGAGTCAGACGTAAGTTCCTTTCAATTGACAGTCGACAGGTGTACAGCCAGGGCTCTCATCGTCTCTGTATTGTAGGATTCTGAACTCAGTGAATTTACGTGGAAGCCGCTTCTTAAAATGACAGACGACTGCGTGAAACGTCTGTTGGTACTTCGGAAGCGTCTCTGAAGGATTCGATTTCTTCGTACGCTTACCTGTCCCTTAAAATTTTGCAATGATTGTGACCACATTTCCCTTATCAAGAGGATTTCTCATCTAGGTCTACGTTATTCGTTTCGCTTTTCTTGCTTGTCGGTTAATTTGATTTCTACCCATTCGTGTACTACAATTTGGTTTGAGCATTCAACAAGTACACAACGTGCCAACTCATTTCTCTGAAGTGCACTGCGACCTTAGACGACGTCTAATACAGCTTGCAGAAAACGAAGACATGAGTGGTCAATAGGTTCATTCACTTGCTGTCACTCACATGCCGCTAAAGTCAGCATCGTTGAATATTCACTAATTTGTGGGGTGTCACAATCTAATCTAAAAAAAATACTGCGAATTTCAAGTTTGCAACAGTCCAAATGTCTGCACTCAACGTAACCAATTCGTTTACGGTAACAGTTAACATGACCTCGGTTCTAGCGCTTTTGTCCTAAATGCTGCACAGACCAGTGACAAGGTACTTAATTAATGCCGTTTCTTCACAGATCACCAAAAGACATTGCGGGCTACATTTTGTGATTGAACAGGCGTCATAGGACATGCATCCATAAAAGGAGTGTGCGTAAACGGTAGGATGTCATTCTGGCAACATTTGATTGATAATATGTCCACTTTAGCTGCATTATTCTGCTGTGTTACTTCAATGTGCGAATGCATTCTGGGTCATGCTCATTTTTAAAATTTTTGCGGCATGGGGAGGAGACATTGCAATCAAAAACAGGGTTGTTTCAATCAACTGGATTGTGTGGACTCAGACTTTACTCAGAAGATATATTGCGACTGTTGGTTTTAATCATTCCTAATATGCCATTTAACGGCACACGAACAGCTAAAGCTCAAGCCATGAATAGATCTGGTGTCACTAATTTATCCCTCGAGATTGAATGTCTTACAAAGTGCGCAGATAAGGCAAGAGACGAAACATTTCAGGTGTCTTCAATGACACACACACAGGCCGCGGTAGTCACAGTGGGTACGGAGTTTTCTGGTTCACAATTTTGTCTGTTTGGCTATATGCTGACAATTCGACAAAATGTTGCAAAATCCCAATCATGTCTGTGTAGTCTCATAATTCAGTTAGCCTTAGCACTGTAGAATTTGTGGCAAACACTTAACTTTAGTGCAAATTTTGAAAAATAACTTCTGTTAATGTCATATTACGCCAAGTCTGGAATGAAGCATGCCACGCTTATGTAAGAAATTTAAATTATACCTCGTTGTCCGATTACTGACATCCGCAGGCGTTCAAGGTTGCAGTAAGAAAAAGACAGGCAGACAAGACTGCAGGTCACCAATGACTGATCTCACATTTGCCAAATCAAAAGAACTTAATCACCATGGTGCTAATGGCTACACTTGATCATATATCAATTGACCAGTCTGAGGTGTAGTTATCACAGAGGTGTCAATCAATTTCATTTCACTGCCCTTCGTCTATTCGTTTTCGCTGAGGCTGTGGAGCCTCCAATATCTAAAACCACAGTTGTGCCACTTCGGTTATTTTACATTCAATTTTTTTACCGCTTACTTCATTTAAGGACATATTTACGTGTCGTTAACACCTTACATGAAAGCATTGGTTTGGTAGTGGTTGCTAAGACCAACATCCCACTTAACGGCACACTGTCAGATAAAACTCATGCGTCGAATAGAATTGGCGTCACTAATTTATCCCTCGTGATTGAATGTCTTGCAAGGTGCGCAGATAATGCGAGAGATGTAGCATTCTAGATGTCTGCAATGACACACACACGGGCCGCGGTAATCACAGTGGGTACGTGGTAGGCTGCAAACCATCTTTCACACAACTCTCGGCACCATGCCTTCACTTAGGGTTAATTATTGGCTGATTTGAGTGGATCCTGGGTGTGCCCACCGACTGTGTCTGATTACCATTCATCAAGCCTCAGCCCCTCACCTTTATCACACCACACGACATACGCACACGCATTCTGCTCTCTGTTCCTGTGCAGGCTCCTGTTGAGAAAGTGTGCTCACGCTTGATAACCGACGCAAATGGTCCGTGAGGTAAACCAAAGCACCCTTGGCATGTTTTATCAGTGATAAAGGGTAAAGCCATCATGCGATGCAAAATATGTGTGACAGTGTGCTGGGGATCCACGATTCCCCAAGATTGGTTTCACGAACATTTGTTTTGCCACGCTTTTATCAAGTCAAGTTTGACCTTGACTTGAATTAGTTCTCGCTTCCGGACTGCACTCCTCACGTGGCTGACGCGAATACAGCTCTCTACTCGAGCTCTGGTCTTGTTCTCGTAGTACCCTTGGAAGGTCGGTTCTAGCTTCAGCTAGGGATCTGGTACCGTTATTTGAGTAGTTTCCTCTTTGTTACGGTAAAACGTAATGAATTTAACGACGCAGTTTTATTTTTGAATAAAACTTGACGATTGTTTACACCCTGTCAAAAGCATCTGCGATAATTATGCTCACTAAGCGAAGAAGAGTGAGCTGCGACAGGGGAATGTGGAGGCAATGACGACCAAAGAGGCAGGTGAGATCGATTTGAAGTGGATGACGACGACGAGAAAGAGCTCAAAATTGGAATGTAGTGTGCGTAAAGTACACTTACTTTACTGGCAAACAATTTCCCCCGTATTTGGAATCAGAGCGCGCTAGAGTATATTGTTAAAATAAGCCCAAAATGGGCGTTGAAAATGAGCTTAAAAACTAATTAGGCGAAATGAGTTGGCCTTGAAAAAGTGCTAAACGAATACAACTAAATTTGTTCCCATGGCCTACACTCATGGTGAGTTGGAAACTGACAGGCTGCGGGTAGTTGCCGACGCCGCTAGAAGTGTCGAAAACAGCTCAATCTGAAGTGGTGGGGGGGCGGTGTTTTGGGCTGGCTGGCTGGGTGACTGGCAGGCTGCGGGCTGGCTGGCTGACTGGCAGGTTGGCGGGGTGGTTGGGTGCGGGTGGGGGTGCATTGAGTGCGGCGGCTGCGGCTGTCATATCAGTGCGAGGCCCCTGACGCCGTTAGCACTCAATGCGTCAAAAAAAACGGACAAAGAATGGGCAGTGTATTAAGTCAGACTGGCTGGCTGGCTGACTGCGTTCAGAGATAAACGCATCTGCTTTAATAAATTGGTTGAGCTACTCGTCATCGGTAGTTCTGCTCTACTTTCGGTCGAGCCGTGTCAACGGAGATTGTCGGCCTTGGTGTGGTTTCTAAAACCGTACCGGGGCCCACTACAACGTCATTAGTAGTTGCATTCTTGTGATTGTTGCCAACTTAAAAGAGCTTCAAGATAAATTTGGGCTCGTATGGCGCAACCGAATCGGAGTACATGAGGGTAGTGCTCAATTAAAGACACCCCAACACCGTGAATGAGGAACCGAAGCTGCGAGTCATTTCAAACTCGCTCGACGCGTCTTGCACAAAGGGGAAGCTTGCAGAACGCATCAATAGGTTCGAGCACCTGGTTTCCGCTGTCGGACTTTAAAGGATGTCTCTAAAAATACTTTGTCAATTTTTGCTTTTCCAAGTGCATTTAACCAACTACCAAAAAAATCTAGGTATGCGGTGGTACATTGCTTCCCGTTGCTGTGTATTCTCATCGTGCTGTTTTTGCATGGCCTACTCTCGGAGATGGTTGCTATCGCTGCACTACCGAGGTATGTTTAATCCTCCAGTAAATTGCAAATGATATATTCTAGCATAATTTAAAAATATTGTTTTCAAATTGGTGAACTGAATGATTATTACTCCGAGGTTTATATCAAACACTTCTACCAGGAATACACTAATAATAATATTGCAGCAAATAAGGTGATTGATGAAGGGTGAAATATTGACTGATCGATTTTGTATCGGAACAACAGTGAACCACATGAAGAGCACACCATTACCCACGCAAGATGCAATGCACCAAACGAACTGGTTTTCTGCTGCGATGCTACCAAAATTGAAGAAGTCAAAATCTCACATGGTGGTTTACTAATTGTGCGTGTGCGCATTTTGTGGTCTCCAGACAGCAAAGGGTCTGCATTTAAAGCATTGGTCCTACATTTGTGAATAAGCTGCGTTTATTTGACTCGTGGATTTCGGGTTTTAGGCAAAGAAACCACCAAAGTTGACACAATAAACCCCTTCGATGGTTGCATGTACAGCTATCCCCCAATGACAGCCTCACAAATGGCTTTCAGCTGCTGGAAATGACCGTCAGTTCTTCGTCTCTGGTGGATTCGACTGTCGCCGGTGTTTGTCGTCTTGTGAGATCCTTGATCTGTGCACGAACAAGCAAGTTTTTACTGGGAAAATCTAAACGTCTGTCGCAGTCAGCAAACCCAAGAAGTGCAGTAATTTGTCCTGGCGAACTCTACCGCCGATGTTAGAGAAGCGCCATCAGCCTGAAATCGCGTACTTAAACGGTTGTGTCTTGGTCGCTGAAGGAAATGGTCACCGACAAATGAGCGTCAAGAGCCTTAAACTGTCCTCCAGGCACCCAAGCCATTGTCAATGGACCAACGTCAATGGCTTCACCGGCTCTAATTCTTGTTTCTGCTAACTGGTTATTTACAATCAAAAGCCGTTGCAGCAAAATAGCTGAACCTTACAACAACAACAGCAGCCTGCAGCCAATCAGATAATGATGCCAAGCAAATATGATGTTCGCAATGCAGAAGAACTCAGAACAAGAAGCCTTGGAGATCAAGTCAGCAACACCGCTCGATTGAGGAATATTATTTGCACACCTGCAGCATAAATGTGACGTGCTTTTGAGACAGAAATATGCTTCTTTAAATGGTCAGTTTATATTGTTCTTTCAATTTTAAAGCAATTGATGATTTCTGGCAGGTAGTCTTCCAGGCTATTACAGATTACCTCAATAGCAGTTGCATTTTGCACTAAGAAAAAGTCGTTTTAGGTCATCGGAGAGTTACATGTGATGGCCGAAATTCATAACTAATGGTTTGCTTCCTCAAGCGAACTTGCCA